CCCCCCCCCCCCCCTTGCTGTTTATCACTTCTCCTTGCAGCTCCAGCTGGGGCCCCACTCTGGCCTGAGGCAGGGAGCGCTGCCTCTGACTATGCAGCAGATGTCATGGCAGCAGCTGTCTCTGCCCCAGAGCCCAGGCCAGAGCCACTGCCACTGCAACAGCTGTTGTGTGGCCAGGCTGGGGCAGGAGGCAGCACATGCTCTGTGCTCCCTGTCTCAGGCCAGAGAGAGGCCCTAGCCAGAGCTGGAATTGTGAGAAATGGTAAATTCAGTGGGAAGGGAAGAAGGCGGGGGAGGGAATGGGGAGGTGGAGAAGAGGTAGCAGGAGGGGTGGCTACAGCTGTAGAGCCCAGTGGGCCCTTGGGCTGAGGGCTACCTCTTGTTCTTAAATCTAAGTCAACGGGTATTTTTCTCCACGTTGGCTAGGGGAAAAAAAACATTCTCTTTGATTTGAGTAAATATGGTAACCTGTACATGGACAGATTTGTAGTGTCCCAAGCATGTATGGGGACTTTGGTGCAGTCATGCTAGAAGAGGGGGATCACTTATGTCAGCCAAAGGTGAATGGGTGTGGGATGAGTGGGTCATTTTTCCTTTTGGTTTAAATGGTGTTATCTCCAGGTACCTGCAAATAACTATAAGCTTCAAGGCTTTGACTTTAGTCTTCCAAAATTTTTTTTAAAACCCCATAAACTCCTCTTGGACTGAGACCAAGAATGTGAATTTCTTCCCCGTCCCCCTTAAAGGCAATTTTTTGAAAAAGCAATAAGTGAAAACATGCCTACGTTGAAAATATTTGTAGCTTAAACCTTAGCTTTTTGTTACCGCAAACCTCCACCCCATGATACATACAGAATTCTGCAAAACACTGAACAGTTAACTATGAAGTATCCATCTCATGTACCAAGCTTGTGAAGACTCAGAGATCTTTCTTTGTGATCACCTTAGTAGCTGTTACCTGTTTGACAAGAAATTCAGCTATTCACAATGGAGAATCCAATCACAAATAGAGCAATCAAAATGAAAGACCCAATTCTCATGGAAACTGGGGCACTGCTGCACAGAGATGACAGCAATGTGTTGTTACAATCATGCTGTGTGTGTATCCCTTTGCTTGAAGACATGAGGCACTAGTTAGTGAAACCCAGGTGAGGCAAAACAGTGCAACATAGATTCCCCACACCGCTCTGCTAAAATGTTGGGATTGGAGGAGATGCCATTAATGTTCCTATTTCTCTGAAAATTTGGAAATGGTGCCTTAAAAGCAGATAATTGAACTGCCTGAGTAATGTTTCTTATGTAGGCTTGGCAGAATTTGATTTTTATTTATTTATCTCAATGGCTAATGTTTATTTTTAAGCATTTATTTTGTTTTTTATCAATTTAAATTTTCAGGTTTGCATGAAATTAGAGTTGTGGCAGGGAAGACAATTGTGTAATACAAAAAGTAAAGATCCATAAATTAACAATGCATACCTTCATGCAAGCCGACAGTAGTCATCCTCATTGACAAAGCAGTATCTCCTGGAATTCAGAACAGCACAGAGCTCCACGGGGGTTTGGCACATACACGCATGTACGTGTGCATACGTGCACATAGCAGCAGCCAGTACAGGAGCTGGGGTCATGCTGGTTAGGCTGTGCTGGGAAAGTGGGTTGGAGGGGCAGGGCTGCTAGCAGCCTGGAGCCTGGGGCTGCTGGCCTCTTGCTCTGCCCAGGTCCGAGGCGAGGCAGGGGCCAAATTCCTGCATAACTCAGCTGGGCTCCATGGGATTTTGACTCCTGCCCTGATTGCAGAGGGGCCAAACTCCTGTGGAGCTTGGCCCGGCCTAGTCTCTGTGCAATTGGGGCAGGGGCCAAACTCCCATAGAGCCCAGCCCAGCCCCTGCATGATTGGGACGGGCCAAACTCCTGCAAAGACCAGGCCGGGCTGGTCTCTGTGGGAGTTTGGCCTCTGCATCAACTGGGACCCGGGCAGATCAAGCATCCAGCAGCACCAGGTTCCCAGGCTCCCTGCTGCTACCAGCCCTCCCCTCCAGCCCCTCCTTCCCAGCACAGCCCCCAGATCTTGCAGCAGCCACCGTGTGCATGTGTGTGTGTGCGCGCGTGCATGCAGTGCCCTCTGCCCTGGATTTCCTTACCTCTGTCCAGGATTTTTTTTTAAATCTCCTTTATGCACATTTCAATGATTATAGACAAATATTTTTCCATCAGTCTGTGGGTATCAGGCGAATTTGACATTTATTGATGTCTATTTATAAAAATCTAATCCTGCCAAGCTTATTCATATTCAACTTCTTTTCAGCAAAACAATAGTCTAGCTCTCTAAAATTGATTAATTCTTTAAGTTGTTTACTAGTGTGTATTTCTCTTTTCCAGGTAAAGAAATTAAAAGGCTTTGATGGAGATGTATCAAAACTGTGTCAAGCTGATTCCTTTATGTACTTACTAATCCAGGTGCCAAAGTAAGAAGGGTATTAGGTTTATTCTCTTTATGTTAAACACCTCTACTCTGGCTGTCAGTGCTAAAGCTTAGTTTGTTCATGTTCTAGCTATTCTCTTCGGATTGAAGCCATGGTACTGAAGAAGGAATTCGCACCTTCTTGTACTGCTCTACAGAATGATATGACAATAATAAAAGTGGCTACAAAAGGTAATTAAACATGTTCTGGCATGCATTGTGCTCTTGTTATTGTTAGCATATTAATCAGTCTGTACCATAGCATCTAGATCTTGAATTTCAGGTACCTAGTAGCTATTAAAAGGAAGCTAACTAGCCTCTGACACATTCCAGAAGGGTGTGTCTGTTAGATCTTTACTCCCAAGGCCAAAAATCTTGAGGTCAGTGTCCCTTTCATATTTGTCTGTAAGGCTGCCTGTGAGATGGCAACGTTATTTGATTGAAATCCTTATCATAACAGACAATCTTGTATTGCAGTTTCCTTTCTTTCTGTTATTCTTATATCCCTGCTCTAAAACACTGCAGATTGCTCCTTTGGTCCAGAAAGGCAAATCCTAATTTAATCATCTTCTGCTTTTCATAGAATCATATAAAATGAGGGACCTCAGGAGGTCATCTAGTCCTCAAGGCAGGACCATCCCCAACTAGATCGTGCTAGGCAAGGCTTTGTCTAGCTGGGTCTAAAAACCTCCAAGGATGGAGATTCCACCACCTCTCTGGGTAGCCTGTTTCTGTGTTTTACTACCCTCCTAGTGAGAAAAATCATCCTAATATTTAACCTAAATTTCCTTTGCTGCAACTTGAGACCATTGCTCCTTGTTCTGTCATCTGCCACCACTGAGAACAGTTTAGCTCCATCCTCTTTTGAGGTAGTTGAAGGCTGCTATTAAATCCCCTCAGTCTTCTCTTCTACAGACTAAATAAGGCCAGTTCTCTTAGCCTGTCTTCATAAGTCATTTGTCCCAGTTCCCTAACCATTGTTGTTGCCCTGCCCTGGACTCTCTCCAGTTTGTCCACATCCTTTCAGTAGTTGGGGGCCCAAACCGAGCACAGTACTCCAGATGTGGCCTCACCAGTGCCGAATAGAGGGGAATAATCACTTCCTTTGATCTGCTGGCAATACTTGTTCCAATGCAGCCCAGTATGCCATTAGCCTTCTTCACAACAAGGGCACACTGTTGGTTCCTACTGAGCTTATTGTCCACGGTAACCCCCTTTTCTGCAGGCCTGCTGTCCAGCCAATCAGTCTCAAGCCTGTACTGGAGCATGGGATTGTTCTGTCCTAAATGCAGGGCTTTGCACTTGTCCTTATTGAACCTTGTGAGAGTTCTTTTGGCCTAATCCTCCAATTTGTGTAGCTCTCTCTGAATCCTAACCCTACTCTCCAGCGTATCTACTACTCCCCCCCAAGCTTGGTGTCATTTGCAGACTTGCTGAGGGTGTACTCTATGCCATCTTCCAGGTTGTTGATGAGGATATTGAACAAAACTGGACCCAGGACTGACCCCTGGGGCTCTCCACTTGATACCAGCTGCCAACTAGACATTATGCCATTGACTGCTATCCCCTGAGCCCAATGATCCAGCCAGTTTTCTGTCCACCTTACAGTCCAGTCATCCAGTCTAGTTTCCCTTTTTCCCAGGTCTAATGTAAAATCATTCTTCCACGTAAGTCAGTTTTCCCTTACCTCCTTTTCCTCCTTTGAGGCCCACTCTTTTATAATACATCCTTAAACCTTCCCTGTTTCCAGCGGAGAGTTGATTTAAAATTGGCTGTTTTTCTCTTCTCCATTAATGACTTCCATGTTTCCTTTCATGTGGTTAGGTTGTTGAGGACATTCACTTTCTGCTCTTGATGGCTAAAGGTTAGTTTATTTCAAAGACACAGATAGACTTCCATTTTGCGAAGAAAATGAGAATTTTTCTTAACTATGCCCCTTGTCACTTGTAGTGTAGACAGGTTTATAGTGTGTGCCAACTTTCTTCTTGGTTTTAGGAAATTCTATATCCACGTGAGTATTATCTCCTTTCTCTTGCTGTAAAGTGCTTGGTGCCTCCTTGTATGAAACTTGTTTTATCAAAACATATTTAACTACTTTGTGTTTTGGCAGGCTGCTAACAATGAAAGCAAAGCAGTACTTTGCTTCCAAAATGACAGATTAGCATGTTGGATTAAAAAGTTAAATGCAGGATAAACTACATAATGTTAACTTTGATTCAACTTCAGCTTTCCTTCTTAAAAAATACACTTATGGTGCAATGACTGCAAGTGTATTTAAGTGTTCTGCATATTACTATAGATGACTCTGTCTACCAAATCATAAAGTACAATTCCAGAAGTTAAATATATCAAATAGGGTTTTTTTTGCTCCGCTGTATATTGCAGATTTGCAAGGAGCTCT